GGTGCTCTACCTATTCACCCCTCCCTTCCCCTGGCAACTACTGATCGTTTTACTGTCTCCATAGTTTTGCCCTTTTCCAGAATGTCATATGGTTGGAATTATACAATATGTAGCCTTTTCCGATTGGCTCCTTCTACTTAGTAATACGCATTTAAGTTTCCTCCATGTCTTTTCATGGCTTGATATCTCACCTTTTTTAGTGCTGAATAATATTCCCTTGTCTGGATGTACCACAATTTATCTATCTGTTTATCTACTGAAAGACATCTAGGTTACTTACAAGTTTTGGCAATTATGAATAAAGCTGCTATAAACATCCATGTACAGGTTTTGTGTGGACATAAGTTTTCAACTCCTTTGAGTAAATAACAAGGAGTGTGATTTCTGGATCAATGGAAAGAGAATTTTTAGTTTTGTAAAAAACTGCCAAACTATCTTCCAAAGTAGCAGTACCATTTTATATTTCCACCACAGTAAATGAGAGTGTCTTTTGCTCCACATCCTTCCAGCATTTGGTGTTGTCAGTGTTCTGGGATCCTTATTTTTTCCTACTCACAAATTACTTATCAAGTTTTCTCTTGACCACAGCTTATAATTTGTCAAAAGAACCTCTCTGACATGCAGTGAATATTCCACCAGTTGTTTTAATTGGTATTACCTGGAAGATAATAAGTTAATGACCTTCTGGCGAGAGCAACCCCCTGTCCTTTCTTAGTCCTCGTATTGATGCTTGCCATTCTCTTCATCATAAAAGTGCTGCTATGATGACATAAAATGCTAGAATCTTTGGAAGTATATCAATTAAAAGTAATTACTGTCTTCAGTAAGTAAATATGCAAAAGGAGATCCTAATGAATAAGATGTAGGGGGTGGCATGTACCCTGATGTCCATTCCCTACAAAGATTAGAAAGCAGGTGGAGAGAACTGCAAGACAAACCATAATGTCTATTGTATTAGGAAAAAGTATAACCACCTTACTGTGGAAAAAGGATTCTTCATTCAGCAAGCTGGGAACCCTGCACAGAACCTGCACAGTGAGCCCAGGCTTAGGCTCACTCCTATTTTTCCAGTTCATTCCTTTAATAAATATTTTTCACCATCATGTTTACCTCTTGTTTGTATATGACCTATATGTATGTGTGTGTATATACATATCATATATACACATACACATATATGTACATACAGACACATAAATATATGAAACAGGATGACTGTAGCAATTTTACCTTCTACAATACAGTTTACCAACTCTCATACATTTGTGTATTTGAAAATGCATATTCCCTTTACTGAAATGAAATACCTTTTTCTACTTGACCTGCCTGGCAAACTACTCATCAAAAAGGTTCAATTGCTTAAACTGCTCTCTGAGTTCTCTGACACGCCCAGGCTATGCCTGTGTCACACTGTGTCATATGCAGGGTGGCCAATTTTTTAGAGAGCCAACTGGGAACACAGCAATACCATAAAAAAAGAACACATAATAGCATAATATATAATAAATACACACGCTCTCTGAGTTCTCTGACACGCCCAGGCTATGCCTGTGTCACACTGTGTCATATGCAGGGTGACCAATTTTTTAGAGAGCCAACTGGGAACACAGCAATACCATAAAAAAAGAACACATAATAGCATAATATATAATAAATACACACGTATGTGTTATTACTTTAACATAAAAATATGAAAAATAGGTGTTTATTTGAAATTATATATTATTCTGTATTATTTACTTTTCTGTTACATAAATGTTATTATTTAAACAAAAGAATAATAGGATAAATTAACAGTGGTAATTAGTACTGAATAATTAAATAATAGGGCTAATTAAATAATATGTGTGAGAAAATATAACTTTATAATGTTTCTATTCTCTGATATAGTAATTTATAATTATTTAAATTTTATAGGCTATTAATTGTGTATTCTTGAGATGACAACTTTAAAAGGAGAACATAAGTACAATTAGACCAGTTAAACAGATTATTACCTATATTTAACTTAAAATAACGTGTTTCTTTCTGTCCTGTGTTACAATAGGATATTTTTTACTCTTTCTGTTTCCTTTCCCAATAATATTTCTCTGAACTAAGACCTACAGGCTTTAGGACATCTTTCTCTTATGTAGTGATAAACTGAATATAGTCAAATGTAAAATTCACTTTGACTTGCAGCTCTCCTCTTATAAAGCCCTGTTACACCGATTTCTGATGCCAGTGGAATATGATGATATCAAGCTAAATATTCTGTCAGTAAAATGTTCTGAGCTTGGAATACTTGGGATTTTACTTCACAGCAAGAGCAGGTTTTTAGACTTGTAGGAATTCGTTTCCAGCTCTCCAACAGGGCCCATTCACTTTGTATCTACAGGCTTGTTTTGGTAGACCAGCTGTTTGTCAATCAGGCTCTTTGCTTCTGTGAACATATATGACTGATGGCAATGATAGCCATTTTGTAGGCATATGTCTAAGGAGGATATCTCCTTCTATTTCTATAAAGTAAAAAATTTCATTAAGTGCTTCTGCATATTTTGAGAAAACTGAAAAATGACCAAAACTTTCATTATGAAAAGCCTCGATATCACAGTAAGAAAATCACCCCCCATTTTTAGCAGTGTTATATACATGGTGTGCAGGATATTTAGCAAGTAAATGATGACTTTGGATCCCCATACTGGCCAGCCATCAAAAAAAATTAAAAAAAAGAGAAGAAAAGAAAGAAATTATAATGCATGTTAAATTAAGTGTTTACCCAAGCTAATTTACATTTTCTTTTCATTTTCTTTGTTAAGAAGTTTATAGACAGAATGGAGTTTGCCAAAATTACATTCACTATCTGCCAAGTAAGTGAGTAGATGAGCAAAGGCCAGTTTATATTTGGACAAGATATCAATAGTCTTTTGTGTCTCCTGCAATTTTATTAAAATCTTCATAGAAATCAAGAAGATTTCAGCTCCATTTTTGAGATCAAAGTACCTAAGAATTAGGGGGAACATTTTGTTGTCATTACTGCTGCTGCAATTAGATGTACTGCTTGATATAGTGTAGAAAGCATCTGTAGAAATACTTGACAGAATCAGTTCTCCATTGTAAGG